ATACTGTATAATATCTTTATATGTTTATTTATAATTATAATAAATTATATTTATGTATCACACATGTATTATAATGTATACATTATATATATATAAGTTTCATCATATGTTTTGACATAGGGGTTTTTTGTTGAAGTCTGTGGTTCCTTTAGGAAGTCTGTTCATCTCACGTTTCGTCCTCCTCTTTTCCTGCTGCCTCCTCCCCTTTACAGAATCCAAAGTCCAGTATTCTTATTTTTTTTTGTATCGAATCTTTTTTTAGTTTTAATAATGATGAAGCCAAAACATTAAAATAAATCACAGATGTGCTGTGCATCTTGAAGACTAACAGGTTCATTGCCGTAGGAGCTTTGAGGAGCTTACAGTTGGCATAAGCCTGTTGAATCCGGGCGGCTGAGGGGCCTGACGCCGAGGGAGGTCCGGAGGGAAAGAACGAGGAACGGGGCCTTCTCGGCAGTGGCCCCTCGCCTTTGGAACAACTTGCCCTTGGAGATCCACCTGGTTCCCTCTCTGAGTGTTTTCTGGAATAAAAACTTCGCTATTTGGGCACGCATTCCCTCCGGCCATATCTTAATTTCTTATACTTTGCCATCCTGGACCTATAATATATGTTTTTGGTTTTATTGTTTTTAAATTTGTAAACTGCTCAGAGTAGACTTTTGCTCTAGATGGGCGGGATAGAAATCCAATAAATAAACAAACTAGATGTCAGCCACATTCCAATTCTATGCCTGTCCCATGACTAGAAAGAAACATAACCAGGAATGCAAATTAGCACCTCGTTAATTAACAGCAATTCATTGTCATGACTTACATGATTGCCCTTAATGAACATGCCAACTGCCAATAGGATTCTGATCAATACAGCACGAGGAGGGAGATCAGCCCCTTTAAGTTGTGTGTCCACAGAAAGCAGCGGTTGAAAATAAGTAAAAGAGCAGGGCACATAGGCCACTAGAGGTGGGATTTTTTTAATTTTTCAATTACAAACCCAATAATTCTCCATTCTTGGAGTTATATCTGACCCATCTTATAGACATCTCATTTTGGCTCACCTGGGAGAAAGGCTTAACCGGGCCTAACTTCCTGTTCTGAAACAAAAGCACCCAGCTAAGACCAAGGTAGAAACAGGAAGCTGAGGTGGCTGGAACTAAGCCTAGTTGAGTCTCAAAGCCTTCCAGTTTAGGTTTTTCGACAAACAAAAACATCAAAAGACAAAAACGTAGCACCTCCGAGACAAAGTCCTATATTTTAACATGAGCTTTTCTGGGTGAAGTGCACTTCGTTACTTGGACTCGGACTTGGGACTTGATACGAAAGACTTGGGCTCAGACTTGGGACTTGGCACTAAAGACTCGGACTTGGGACTTGATACGAAAGACTTGGACTCAGACTTGGGACTTGGCACTAAAGACTCGGATTTGGGACTTGATACGAAAGACTTGGACTCAGACTTGGGACTTGGCACTAAAGACTCGGATTTGGGACTTGATACGAAAGATTTGGGCTCAGACTTGGGACTTGGCACTAAAGACTCGGACTTGGGACTTGATACGAAAGACTTGGAATCAGACTTGGGACTTGGCACTAAAGACTCGGACTTGGGACTTGATATGAAAGACTTGGGCTCAGACTTGGGACTTGGAGTCAAGGACTCGGTATCAAAGACTCGGACCCCGGACCCAAGGACTTGCCAATACCCCTGATGTCCAACCAATCTCATCACGGGTGTTGAAGGAAGGACCACGTCATTTGTCTTATCCATGTGGTACTGAGGGCGGAGGATAAACCTGCGGCAAAATGTCTTGAGCTACCCCTGTTCCCCCCACCCCTCAAGAAACAACTCCGTCAGCCCTTGTGCCAGAGTATTAACAGCCAAGCTCCAGAGGTAGAAACAAGCGAGCATTCGGGAACGCTCCACAACACCAGAGTCTGCAGCGTACCTGAGCGGATCGACTAGGCAGTTGACAGCTTCAAACTGACAGAGGGATTCATGGCTTTTTTTGTAAAGGGGGGGGTTTGAGAGCGGGAAAATGCAGTATAAAGGAGCTGTGGGGGGGAAGGCAAGTGGGAAGCGTCGGAAATCAAACGACATGAGCTAGCAATTGAAAACGAGGAAATTACAGTCCTTAAACACTCCCAGAAACAAATTTCTGATGTAAATCTTTCTGGTGAAATTATTTTTTAAAAAAAAAGAAGGGAAAAACGAAAGAGACCTGGATTCGGCTACCGTCTTTTCTTACAAAAGCACACACACACATATACACGAGGGGATCAAAATTAGTTGTGACAGCTGAAATCTTGTACTCATTGGACGACATTTTGACAGGCTACTTAAAAAAAATACATATAAGAAGAATAAAGAAGAGTGGCATAGCGCTAGGGGTGGAGGGAGAATCAGGCGGGGGGGTTTTCAAAGTGATACAAGACGCATAATTCAAGCCTTCTTGGGTTGCAAAAGCTCTTTTTACCTACGGGGCCCGCCGCCTTATTTTTACCCAAATGGTTCAATTACCTCAAAGCCCCACAGAGAAAATTATGGATGTTGGCCTTTATTCTAACCCCCTCCTCCTTCATTCTCTTTTTTCCCCTCTCCCTCTCTCTTTCTTGTTCTCTCAATCTCATCGTGACAACTGTAGATGTTTCTGTTTTGTTTCTCTTCTTCTTCTGTCTCGGAGATTTCTCTTTCCCCCCCCACCCGCTTTCCCCCCCCCTTATAATGTGAGTTGGGGTCTAGGAGGCGTTGGTGCGCCATAAGTGGTCTTGAATCAAGGCTTCGTTTTTCATGTAAAGACAAACCAAAAAGAGGGGTGGGCAAGAGATTTGGGGTGTGTCCAAGGAGGGCCAAGGGATTTTAGAAATTGGCTCTTTGAAAAGGGGAAGTTCATTCGTTCTGGGTGAATGTCACTCTGTGTTTTTCATTGAGGGTGAACATCACTCCATGTTTTTCATTCCGGACAAATGTCGCTCCATGTTTTCTGTCCTGGGCAAATTTTGCTCCTTGTTTTCTATCGTGGGTGTTCCTGGGCAAATTTGGCTCCTTGTTTTCCATCGTGGGCGAATTTTGCTCCTTGTTTTTCATCCTGGGCGAATTTTGCTCCCTGTTCTTCATCTTGGGTAAATGTCTCTCCATGTTTTTCATGCTGGGTGAACATTGCTCCATGTTTTTCGTCCTGGGCATCTCTCCATGTTTTTCATGCTGGGCGAACGTTGCTCCATGTTTTTAATCCTTGCTGAGCATCACTCCATGTTTTTCGTCCTGCGCGAATATTGCTCCATGTTTATCGTCCTGGGCGAATGTTGCTCCATGTTTTTCATCCTGGGCGAACGTTGCTCCATGTTTTTCGTCCTGCGCGAATGTTGCGCCATGTTTTTCGTCCTGGGCGAATGTTGCTCCATGTTTTTCATCCTGCGCGAATGTTGCTCCATGTTTTTCGTCCTGGGCGAATGTTGCTCCATGTTTTTCATCCTGGGCGAACGTTGCTCCATGTTTTTCATCCTGCGCGAATGTTGCTCCATGTTTTTCGTCCTGGGCGAATGTTGCTCCATGTTTTTCGTCCTGGGCGAATGTTGCTCCATGTTTTTCGTCCTGCGCGAATGTTGCTCCATGTTTTTCGTCCTGGGCGAATGTTGCTCCATGTTTTTCGTCCTGGGCGAATATTGCTCCATGGTTTTTCGTCCTGGGCGAATGTTGCTGCATGTTTTTCGTCCTGGGCGAAGGTTGCTCCATGTTTTTCGTCCTGGGCGAAGGTAGCTCCATGTTTTTCGTCCTGGGCGAATGTTCCTCCATGTTTTTCGTCCTGGGCGAATGTTGCACCATCTCCTTCCTGAAATCCATGCCCTCGTTCCTCTTCTTTTTTTTTCCACTCCCCTTCATCCCCATTCTCACTGCCATTTCCCCCCTATTTCCTGCACCTCTGAAAGCCATCGTAATAGCACCTTGTTTGGCACTTCAGTCTGTATCAATGAGAAAATATCCCCCCTTTCCCGGCGTTGGCTTCGTTATTTCCAAACCCTGCAATAGCTCCTTTGCAGAAGGCTGCGGGAAGTACCCATTTTCCAGCATTTTCCTTTGCCTCATGTTTGTCATCCTCTGAATTACCGCTCCGGGGGGTTCTGCTCGGACCGACACCAGGCCTCGCTATTCACGCCTCTCTTGCTTCTTGAGATCATGCGGAGAGAAATTAGTTATTTATTTGGAGCACCCGCTGCACCTCGTTTATCTTTAGAAGTGTTTGTTTTGATTACCTGCGAGGGAAATAGGACAAAAGAGAGGGAGAGAGAACGAGAGTCTCTCGACG